AGAATGTCAAAGATAAAATTAAATAGAAAGATAAAACTATGTTTATGGGTGGTAAAATCAATATTTCTAAGATGTACATTCTCCTCATATTGACCTATAGATCCAACACAGCCCCAATCAAAATTTGATCTGACTTCTTTTAGATCTAGAAGAAGGTAATTCTAAAATCTACCTGAAAATGCAGATGATCTAAAACAGCCAAAACTACCTTGAAAAAGAAGAACAAATTTGAATGATTCATACTACCTTATTTTAAGACTAATTATAAAGCTACAGTGACCAAACAGGATAGTACTGACATAGGAATAGAAAAGGAATCAAGAATCCAGATGTGAACTCACATATTGTCCGTTGTTTTTTTCAATAGACACCATGGCAAATCAATGGAGAAAAGAAAGTCTTTTTAACGAATGGTGCTGGAATAACAATAAATGTATGGAAAAAATATCGAGCTATTCACACCATACACAAAAATTAATTTGAGATGAATAATAGCCCTCAATGTCAAAGCAAAAACTCCATTCACCAAAAGAAACATAGGAGAAAATCTTCACAACCTGAGGTTATTTGAAGATTTCTTAGATAAAACACTACAGCACTAAACACAAAATAAAATTTGAAAAATTGTACTTCCTCAAAAGCAAAAGTTCTCCTCATCAAAAGAAGTCATTAAGAAAATAACAAAGCAAGACACTGACTGTATCCAGAATATTAAAAGAATTCCTACAAATTATTAACAAAAAACTAACAACCCAATAAAAAATGGTCCAAATACTTGCACAGACACTTCACAAGCACACATGCCCCAAAAGCACATGAAAAGATGCTCATTATTAGTCATCAAGGATATGCAAACTAAAACTACAATGAGTTTCCATTTCACGCTCTACAAGAGCTAAAATTTAAAAGACTGATAAGGACTTCCAGTCAATATGGTGGTGTAAGCAGACATGGCTTGCCTCTTCCCATAACCACATCAAAATTCCAACTAAAATATAGAACAACCATCACTCAGAACCATTAGAAATCAAGCTGAATAGAAGTAGTCTGACAACTATGGAATTAAAGAAACCACATCCATCCAGACTAAGTCAGCAGGCTGGTGCCATATCTGAGACTCAAGATATCAACTTGGCTAACACTGTTTGACCTGCCTTGGGAGATCTCCAGAGATTCTGCTCTACCCAAATTACTGACCCACCCAAGCTGCTTTTCCATATAAATGGTTGGTCTTAGCTCATGCTTCACAACTTCCTAAATCCTCTCAAAAAAGCAACAGCTGGCTTCAGTGAGCCCTAGACCCAGCACTAGCATCAACCACCTAGATTCACACCTTGAATTCACCTGGGAATCTCCAAGCCCAGCACAAGTAGCAGACCTCTGAGGCTGCTCTATAGCTCATGCAGAGTGGCCCCAAGCAGAACACATGTCGGGGCTCAGTTTGGCCTGCACCACCTGGAAAATCCCAGAGCCTGAACAGCCAGTGGACAGCTACAGACCATATTGGAACACCAACACCCTGCCCCTGCAAAGCTGATTCTCCATGGAAGGTGAAGGTTGGTGGTTAAGTTGTCACAGCCAATACCTGCAGCTTACTGTCCTGGGTAAATCCCTCCCATTGACCTGCCAACAGCAACAAAGCCTCAACTACAAGAGAAGGGAGTACTCAGCCTATACAAAGGACACACCTCCAGTACCCAGCTTGGGTAATAGCGGAGGCTGTGACATTGGACCTTACAAGACACCAACTACAGTAAGCCACATTATCAAGACACAGAGTCAAAGCAGCTCTACCTGATACATAGAAACAAACACAGGGAGGCTGCCAAAATAGGAGACAAAGAAACATGGCCCAAATGAAAGAACAGATCAAAACTCCAGAAAAAGAACTAAACAAAGTGGAGATAAGCAATCTTTCAGATGCAGAGTTCAAAACACTGGTTATAAGGATGCTCAGGGAACTTAGTGAGAACAACAGCATAAAAAATATCCAGTTAGAAATGAAGGATATACTAATTGAAATAAAAAACAATCTACAGGAATCAACAGAGAAGTGGATGAAGCTGAGAATCAAATCAATGATTTGGAACATAAGGAAGCAAAAAGACAATGAATTAGAACAACAAGAAGAAAAAAGAATCCACAAAAATGAGGACAGTGTAAGCAGCCTCTGGGACAAGTTCAAGAGGTCCAACATTTGCACCATAGGGGTGCCAGAAGGAGAAGAGAAAGAGCAAGAAATTGGAAATCTATTTGAAAAAACTAATGAAAGAAAACTTCCCTAACGTGGTGAATGAAATAGACATGCAAGTCCAGGAAGCACAGAGAGTCCCAAGCAAGATGGATGCAAAGAGGCCCTCCCCAAAACACATCATAATTAAAATGCCAAAGGTTAAAAATAAAGAGAGAATTTTAAGTGGCAAGAGAAAAACAGTTAACTACAAGGGACTTACCATAAGACTGTCAGCTGATCTCTCAAAAGAAACTTTGCAGGCTAGAAGGAATTGGCAAGAAATATTCAAAGTCATGAAAAGAAGAGACCTACAGCCAAGATTGCTCTACACAGCAAAGCTCTCATTTAGAATCAAAGGACAGATGAAAAGCTTCCCAGACAAGAAAAAGCTATATGAGTTCATCATCACCAAACCATCATTATATGAAATGTTAAAAGAATTTATTTAAGATAAAGAAGATCAAAACTATGAACAATAAAATGGCACAAAAAAAAACAACCCCACACATATATCAATAAACTAAGCAAACAAGAACAGAGACAGAGTCATGGATACTGAGAGCTTTTGATGGTTGCCAGATAGGAGGGGAGTATGGGGCAATGGGTGATAAAGGTGAGGGAATTAAGAAGTACAAATAGGTAGTTACAAAATAGCCATGGGGATGTAAAGTACAGGAAATGGAGTAGCCAAAGAACTTATGCACATGACCCATGGACGTGAACAATGGTGGGGAGAGTGGGGGGTGCTGGCTGGAGAGGGGAAAGGGGGAAAAATCAGGACAACTTAGTGATTATGCTGTAATAGCATAATCAATAGAATATAATTTTTAAAAGAAAAAAATTGAATAAAATAAAAAATAAGACTGATAACACCAAATCCTGACAAAGATGTAGAGAAACTGGAACTCGTGCATTGCTAGTACAAGTATTGTATTAAAAAAAAAACTTTTGAAAATTGTTTTGCATTTTTTTATAAAAGCAAACACATTTAGCATATGACCCAGCAGTTCCATTCTAGGTATTTAGGAAATGAAATGAAAACAGATGTCCACAAGAAGACTGGTTCAAGAATGTTTACAGCAGCTTTATTTATTATAGCTCCAAACTGGAAATACCCCAGAGGCCCGTGAATGGGCGAATGTAAAAGCCAACAAGTGTATCCACACCTTGGAGTACTGCTCAGTAGTAGAAAGAAAAACACCACTGATGTACCCAACAGCACAGATGGATCTTAGAGACACTACACTGAGCAAAAGAATGCAGGCGCAAAAGAGTACACACTATAAGAATGAGCAAAACAAATCTATGGTGATAGAATTTAGAACAGAGTTTCCCCATGGAGGGATGGGATGGGGATTGATTGGAAGGATATTTTAGAGAATACAAGCATTCCAGTCTTGAATGGGGAAGTCATTACATGGCTGTATACATTTATCAAAACTAATGGAATGACACACTTAAGCTCTGTGCATTTTTCCTTTTTATTCATTTTTTAAAGGAAAAATGTAAAAGGTGTTCTCCAGTTTCGACACTCGAGCCACCCCACCTCAGAGCCTAGGGCCCCCAAGCCCATCTCAGCCCTTGCTGGCTGCTGGCTGCTCCATGGGTACTGTGAGGGAGGGAAACCAGAGAGAGGGTCCGACTGAAGCAGAAAGGGCAGGAGGGTGTCACCAGAGAACTGTTCATTTGGGTTTGTACTGAAGCCAGTTTCCTATAGAAACTAACTGTGTTTTCCATCCCTCTCCCCCATGCCCCTTCCAATATCTTACTCCAAATTCCAAAGTGGAAGAAAAGCCAGAAAGAAGTGAAGGGAATAAGAACAGATCCTGAGCCAACTGCAGCATGTGGCTTTCCCAAAGACACATGTGGACCAGACACTCTGTGAAACTTCAGAGCCCAGAGCAAATCCTGCTGTTCCCTGGACCCACTTCCATCTGTTTAAAACACACTCACAACCTCACAGCAACCATATGCAAGAAATGCTATTGTTAACCCCAGTTTACAAATGAGGTCTCTGATGCTTAGAAAAGTGAATGACTTACCCCAGAGCACACAACTTAAATCCAAATCTGTCTCATGCCCTCCCCTTGACCTCGGCCACTGTATATACTACCTGATGCTCTAATTTATGAAAATTCAACTGAAACCTAAAAGTTGGCAGCATTGAAAGGAAAAAAGAGTTGTAAAGGGGGCTAGGCCTTGGGAGGGGTGTAAGGGACAGAATGGTGACCCCACTCCCTCTCAGCTGTAGTCAAGAGAGGGGAGGGTTGTAGGTGGGTTGGACACATATGAGCTCCTGAAGCTTTTAGCGCCACCTAGATTCCCTGCAACTGCATAAATATTCAACTCTGATCTGATAGGCAGCCTAGAGTCACTGTCCACACCTGCACTGTCCAATACAGGAGTCACTAGCCACATTGGCTATCTCAATTTAAATCTCTCTTAATTAAAGTTTGAAAATTCACTTCCTCACTTGCACATATCAAGGCTCTGTGGCCATATGTGCCTGGTGGACACTTCATGAGACAGCACAGGTCTATCCCTTGGTCCTCCAGTCAGGCCACCCCCGAGGGTTGAGGTTTGCTGGGCTTGTGGAGATTCTGCCCTGCGGTGCCCACAAGATGAGGCGCGCTGGTACCAGCCAAAGAAGAGAGAAGTGAAGGAAGTGGCACAGACCTGATGAAACCCCAAGCACATTAGGTGAGGAGGTGGGTGGCATGGTTAGGCACTCTTCTCTCCAGCAAACATCCTTTCCTTTCTCTTTCAGAAGAGAGTTCTTTTCCTGACCAATGACTACTTCTTCACAGACATCAGTGACACACCTTTCAGGTGAGAGACACATGTTTTACTTGCAGAGTGGAAGGATGGGTGGAGCATGAATACTAACAACACAGGGTAGAACTTTCAGGTCTGGGGATGGATTTACTCAAAGTTAGTTGGCAATTTTGTGGTAACAGTAAGACCTAGCTCTGCATTCAGGAAACTACACTAGGCCTGCTTTGCCAGTGTAGTCTAATGTGCAGAGTCTGGAAGTATGGAACCAGATTGCCTGGGTTTAAATCCCAGTATCCTCACTTACAGGCTGTGTGACCTTTATCAAGTTACTTAACCTCTCTGTGCATTAGATTCCTCATCTGTAAAATGAGGGTAGTAATAGTAGCTACTTCTTGACAGTATTGTGAGGATTGAATGACATAATCAAAGATCTTAATTCACGCAATGGTAAGCAATTGTTAGATGAAAGATCAAATGTGAAGATCTCCTAAGTTCCCTCCAACTGTATAGATATTTAACTCCAGGCAACATACAGATTAGGAAACAAATAGCCCTTATCTCTGAATTATCTCACTTCTCAATGGAATTTTGTAAAATTGCCAATGCCCAGGTCCATCCAAACCAATTTACTCAGAATTTCGGGTGTGGGGTCCAGGCACAGGTATACTTTAAATCTCCCTGAGTGATTCAAACATTTGGCCAAGGTTCAAAAGCAATGTCCTACCATCAGAGAGAGGAAGGCACACAGGATTCACTGGGGGTAAAAGATTTTCCTATTTGTGGAGCCCTGTAAGACCTAGAGACCTTTCTACATTTCAGAGGGTTCCTGAGAGGTTCAGGATGTATCTTGATTAAAACGGGAGCTGAGGGGCCCTGGCCAGGTAGCTCAATTGGTTAAAGCATCGTCCCAACACTCCAAGGTTGTGGTTTCTATCCCAGATGAGGACACATACAAGAATCAACCAATGAATGAATAAATAAGTGGAACGACAAATCAATGTTTCTCTCTCTCTCTCTCTCTCTCTCTTTCTCTCTCTCTCTCTCTCAAAAGCAATAAATAAAAATTTAAAATGGGACAACCTGTGAGGCCAGGGGCAAAGGGGTCTTGGCATGCATGCCACATGCCATGGGCATGGACAGCTCATAAACTTAGATTTAGTGAAGGACAGGACATGGACTGGGACACTGACTTGGACTTGCTGTTTGATGAAAACATGGGTCCTCTGCTCTCTCCACAGTTTGGGAGTGGTGCTGTCCCAGGGCCAGGGAGAATACATCCTTCGGGGGAATACATCTGTGGAAGAAGGTTGGTCAGTGCCCAGTACTTATGGACACTTTGGAGGGAAAAAAATGGATGTTCCTGGGATACCAAGCAGGGCCAACCCAACCCAGAGCTGATACGACAACCTCCCAGGTCCCGGGCTTGGGAGTAGAGTCTCAGAGCCAGGCTGCAAGACAAGGAGGGATCTGTGTGTCTCAGGCATCCTGGGTGTGTGGGATCTGCCAGTCAGCCACCCAAACTGACAGAGCCTAGGACTTGCCAACTTTGCATTGTCAGGTGGCTTTGTTGGACCAGAGGGGTGGGCCTCAAAAGGATGTGTTTCTTTGAATAAAGCTGGATTTTACCTGTCAGAAGACTCTACAGAAGGCATGAGGAAGGAGGCTGGGAAGAGTGAGGAAGGAAATCTGTAGCAGTCTGCTCGGATCGCTGTAACAAAGCACCACACACTGGGCGACCTAATGAGAGAACCTCATTCTCTCACAGCTCTGCAGGCCACGCACCTTCCAATGGCACTCCTAGCTCCTGGTCGCACACGGAGTTCCTCACCTTGCACTGCAGCTCTACAGTCTCCCCTCCATCATCACAAGGCTTTTCCCCTTGTTTGTGTCTATTTTCCCTTTTCATAAGGACACCAGGCATCTTGGATTAGGGACCCCTAATGACTTTACCTTAACTTGATTGCATCTGCTGAGGCCCTATTTCCATATCAGATCACATTCACAGGTACAGGCAGTTAAGACTTCAACTTATCATTTTGGAGACACAGCCAACCCATAACAAGGAACTTATGGGAAGTGAACCTGAGAGGATGGCGGAGAAAGACCCCACCCTCCCTGATGCAGCCTGCTCAGACCTGAGCACCTTGACAGAGCAAAACCTGTGTCCAGGGCTCCCAGTCCTTGGGAGATGTGGTCACAATTCTGTTCAAAGCCCACATTCTGTCCATTCTCCCTTTACCATCCCTTCAATGTATCTCGTCTCTCGTCTCTGCCTCTGCCCTCAACATGGCCACTTCTCTCCTGGATAACCACAGCAACCTCCAGCTAGTCTCCCTGCCTCCTCCTTTCTTTGAATTTCTTTCTGCCAGAGGGAAGTTTCTAAAACTGCTAAACTGGATTGTGTTGCTGCTAAAGGACCTCCAATGGCCTTTGGCTTTTTTTCAGTTCTCCACACACTAAGCGTCAGGGTCTTCCCATACACTGCACTTTCCCCCAAAATGCTATCCCCTCCAACTCCCACTGTCTTATCCCAGCTACTCGCACCCACTCCTCAGGCCCCAGAGTACAGGCCACTCTCCCGGAGGCTGTCCCCGGCAGCCCCCTTCCCCGCCCAGGCCAGTTACGTGCCCTGCTGTGTGCTCCCACGTCCTCTGCTTTCACCCTTTCACAGCGCGTGTCCATTGCTGTTGGAACACTCTCCTTCCATTTTCCACTGATCCCAAAACAAACTTCCTAGGTCTCTCTGGTGTCTTCCTCCTTTCTCTGCTTTTCTTCCTCTACCCAGATATTCCCATCTTCATCGCTGCAGAAGACAGAGGGTACTACCCCTCACCCACTTCGTGGGAGAGACCAGCCAGTGGTCCAGCAGCTTGAAATCATGGGCTTAATGGGCTTACGGAGCTTACCATGGGGAAAGGAGTGCCACCCTCTCACTGTCTGCCTGTGTCTGTGTCAGTCCAGGACTTCTTTTGGTGATGCCACAGATGCCCGCTTGGCATGTCCATCACCCTTTTCTTCAATGTAGCAAAACTTAAGTTGAGCACCTATTTATTTTTAAGCACTCAGGATGCTCAGTAGGGTGGGTTTGTTGTGGGGTTTTTTTTCATTCACTCAAACAATGTACTTAGCCCATGGTCAGTGTGCGTGCTGTGCCGGGCATGAGGCTATAGAGATTATACAAAACAGACATGGCCCCTCTCTGGGCTCATCTTTTGCCTGGCCATTTAGCTCAGTTGGGTGCAATGAAGCTGCAATCACTGGTTTGGGGGGAGACATAACAGGTGGGATTTGGCCATGAGGCAATGGGGAGAAAGAACATTTCAGGAAAGGGGAACAACATGGACAAAGGCGTGGTCTGTGCAAACCCAGCCCTGTCCTGCGGGTGAGTTTTTACTCTGAGCTGAGGACAAGGAAGAGGAAACCCAGCCCGGCCCTGAAGGAGCTTCCCTGCACATGTTTGTAAAGAATTCAGGTGCAATCCTCACACCAGGGTGAGCACCATACCGAGAGTGAGCTCTGGTTTCAGGCCTGCACGACCTGCTGCACCCGGATCTGACCCTGGCTGGTGACTGGTAAGTGGGAGCCTCTGTCACTGCACAAAGGAGGGGGGCAAGGGAGGGAGGGAGAGAGGGAGACACAGTTTTGTGAGGTAACTGACTCCCCTGGGTTCCAGGACCTACTGCATCACAGATATCGACCCAGACCACCGGAAGCTCAGCCAGCTGGAGGCCATGGTCCGCTTTCTGACGGGGGAGGACCCAGACCTGGAGTGTGCGTGCTATCCACCCACTGAGGGCTTCCTTCTGGGACCTCGCAGTTCAAGGCTTTGTAGGAAGGGAGGGCTGGGGGGGATGGTAAGAGAGGGCTGTCACGTAGCTCTATCCTGGGAACACACTGATGGCTTAGGGAGGACAGGGAGACTTCAAAGACAAAAGCAGATCCACCATCAACATGGGGCCAAGCTGGTGACTAACTGTCCCTAGAACTGTGGTATACAGGCATATCCCCATGTCAGGGACTAGAATCTCTGTAAACCTCTTTCACCTGAGCACTATTAAGGCCTTGAAGGGACACTCACACAGTGTGAAGGCATCTCCCTGACCATCCGATCTGTCCCTACCACCACCTCACAGTGGGCCCCCATGCCAGCTGACCTCCGAAGTCCTTAATGCTGCAGAGGAGAGCATTTGACCAGACAGCCTCTTATAACTTGTAGTCTATGAGTATTTTCTAACATCCATAACAGGGAACTTATGGGAAGTGAACTTGAGTGGACGGACCAAATCCCCCAACCCATACCACAGAAGCCCCATTCCAAGAACCCCACTCTCAGGGTTGGGCTCTTGCTGTGAGAGAGCAGTGCCTGGAGAGAGCAGTTTGCAGACTAAATCTTAAATTCCCCTCCACTAACTCAACTGGTGTAATTATTGGGCCACACCCTCATCATGGTACTACCTCTCTCTCTTTGGAAGAAGAATCAGGTCATTTTTGTCACATTAAGTGTCCTCACCAAGAGAAGACTCCACCTTCCATGCTATCCCAACACTCATTCCATGAACAAGTGTGCACTGAGCATGTCCTCTGTGCCAGGCCTGGGCAGGCACTGTAGGTACAGAAATGACCCAACCAGGCAAGGCCCTTTCTCTCATGGAGCTTATAATATCAAGGGAAAACCACGCGATGAAGAAGCAAGCCCATGCATGTAGGTGGTGGTTGTTACAGGTTGTGCTGTATAGGAAAAAATTGGGCCTACTTTAAATGGATAGTCAGGGAAGGCCACCTCTGCCAATCAGTGTCACTTACTGCCCAAGTGGCTTCACGGGTACAGGGCCTCCTTTGGGAGTGAAGAAAATGTTGTGGAACTAAACAGAGGTGATGACTGCATATCATTGTGAAGGTACAAAATGTCACTGAATTATATACTTTAAATTGGTTGATTTTATTTACACGGATTTCACCTCAATAAAAATAAATACTTTAAGGATAGTGAGGGAAAAGAAAGAGCCACCCATGCAAAGAATGGAGAAAAGAGCATCCTGACCAAGGGAACAGCATATGTGGAAGCTCTGAGGCAAGTTCAAATTCACAGAACTCCAAAAGGCCAATGTGTGTGAGGCCAATTATCAGGGAGCAGAGCAATGAGAGTTAAGATGGAGGGGGAGCTGGGCACAGATGCAAGTCTGATGTCACTGAGGGATTCTCCTAATTTCACAGAACATAGAACTAGAAAGAGCCTTAGAAATCATTTCATTCTACTCACATACTATTTGGGGTTGAGGAAATGAAGGCTGGAAGAGGTGAAATGACTTCCTCAAATTCATGTAGCTGGCTTCACGTGTTCCAGACGCAGGTTTATGAGGCACATCTTGTTCCTTGAAGTTAGGGGTTCCTCAAAAGGAAAGATGAGCTGTGTTTATAATCACGGGGGAAATAAGTGAATTGGTCTCCTCTGATTTTGCACCCAGGTGACGAGGAGCTGGTGCAGGAGGTACTGTTTGATGTGGTGGTGACAGCTCCCATGGAAGCCTACTGGACAGCTCTGGCTCTCAACAGCTCTGAGTATGTACCAGAGTGGGGCTGACGGCTCCCAGAAGGGAAAGAGGTTCTGGCCTCTGGCATTCCCTTGTCTGAACCAGGGTCCCTCCCACCAGCTGGCTGGCAGCGCAGGAGATCACCTCCATCCTTCGGCCTAAGATGAACGGTGATGAGGGTGGGAAGATGTGAGGGAGTGAGAGCAACATTCACACAGCCCCAGTGAGAGCAGAGGCTCAGTAAATCTTCCACGCACAGTACAGGCTACTGCCTGGAGCATGGAAGAAAGACCCCAAGCAGATGCCCTGGTCACAGGACCAAATCCCCCAACCCACAATGCAGAAGCCCCATTCTAAGAACTTCTTTCTGGGGGTTGGGCTCTTGCTGTGAGAGCCCAATAGCTAAAGTGCCTGGAAAGAGCAGTTCAAGCAGATCAGAGCCTTGTCTCCCAGCAGGTGAGGTCAAGACACCATGAAGTATATTTGACCTCAGTATGTCCCAGCACCTTAGATTTCCTCACTGCCTCTGCCGATCTTTACCTGATGCTATTGTGTTTAGTGGACCGATAGAAGAGATGAATGGCTTGTGTGGGAGTGTGTGTATGTGTGCATGTATGCACATGTGTACACTAGCACAGGAGTGTTAGGAAGGGGTAAGATATTAATGAGGTTAAGAATAAAGTGGGCCACACCTTGTTCCTGAATAGAAAGATTCAACATCAACATCATAAAAATGCCCAACCTCCCCTAGGTGCTTGATAAATTAATTAATACTGTCCTAATGAAAATAGTAACAGAATTATGTAGGAACAATCACCTATTTTAAGAAAAAAGGAAGATGAATAATGCTTTGCATAGTGTGCTACCATTTCTGTAAAAAGAAGGAAAAACATAGTATGTGTGTGTGCATTTACAAGGTGGGGCAAAAATAAGTTTACAGTTGTATGGAAAATAATATGGTGATTAATAAATAACAAGACAAGAATAAACTCTGTTTCATGTACTCATAACTATAAACCTATATTTTCCCCAGCCTGTATATAAAATACCTATGAAAGGCTATATAAGAAACAGTTCTCATTTGTTGCTAAAGGTGAGAAAAATGGGTAACTGAAACAGGGACAGAAGGGACATTTTATAACTTGTTAGTACAATTCTGAACCATGTGAATGAATGTATTACCTATGCAAAATTAAAGAAACTAAAACAAACAAACAAACAACACACTAGGCCAGGCACTATTTTTAGTGCTTAGTGTGTATCACATTGATTCTCACAACCACCCTACTATCATTATCCCCACTTTACAGATGAGGAAACTAAGGCAGAGAGAGATAAGAAATTTGCCCAAGGCCACGTGCCTCACAAGTGGTGGAACTGGACTCAAAACCAGGCAAACCTAGTTCCAGAGTCTCTAGACTCTTAGCTCCTGTACTGTCCTGCTTTCTGTAGAGGGATTTGGAGAGAAGGGGCATGATCCCCATCTTTCCAATTTCAGAGATTAGCCAGGCATGTTTTTAGTATTAAGAAACATTGAGGAGCAAATATTCTTAACAAGGGTATGTATCAGAAAAGATGACTTAGAGAACTAATATAAATAGCATATTAATAAAGCTAAGAAGAAAACTCATGTAATCATCCCCATAGATGCAGAAAAGATATTTGAACAAATATTAATATCTATTCATATTTTTTAAAGCCACTCAATAAAATTAAAATTGACTTAAGTTTGAAAGTCAATATCTGAATGGGACTAGAGGCTCTCTCATAAAGACAGGAAAAAGACAGGCCCACTGCCCCAGCTACCAGTTAGCAAGGTCAGAAGGTACTCGTTGGTGCAACCAGATGAGAGAATGCAACTAGAAGCAATGAGAAGTGGAAAGAAGCAAATGATCTCTGTTTAAGAAGATGGCATGTTTATATACCTGGAAACCCCTGCACAAAAAATTTAACAGAAATCTACTATAAACTATAAAAGAATTTAGTAGAATAGCAGTTTATAATATGCACACTCAAAAATTAATAACCTTTATCTATACAAACAAAAACCAGATCTACAATGAGATGTGAGAAGACCTATTTAGGAATGCAAAATATAAAATATAACAGCCCTAGCTGGTGTGGCTCAGTAGATTGAGTGCCAGCCTGTGAACCAAAGTGTTGCTGGTTCAATTCCCATTCAGGGCACAAGCCTGGGTTACAGGCCAGGTCCCCAGCATCGGGTGCATGAAATGCAACCACACAGTAATGTTTCTCTCCCTCTCTCCCTCCCTTCCCCCCTTCTCTAAAAATAAATAAATAAAATCTTTTTTAAATGTTTAAAAATAAAATAAAATATAACAAAATACCTAGTCATAAACTATAAGAAATATCCCAAAATTTACATAAAGAAAATATAAAGCACTCCTGAATAATGCAAAAGTAGACTTGAGTAAATGGAAAGATATTCAGTGATTTTGGATAGGAAGACTCAACAATACAAAAATATTAATTTTCTTTAAGTTAATTTTATAAATTTAATGCAATCCCAATAAAAATGCCATTAACAGCCTTCACTGGTGTGTCTCAGTTGGTTGTAGTATTGCCCCATAATCCCAAAGGCCTAGGTTTGATTCCCAGTCAGGGCACATGCCTAGGTTGCAGGTTTATTCCCCAGTCAGGGCAGGTACAGGAGGCAGCAAATCAATGTTTCTTTCTCACATCTATGTTTCTCTCACCTTCTATCTCTCTCCCTTGCCCTGTCTCTAAAGTCAATAAGCATGTAACTTTGGGTGAGGGAGAAAGAAAGAGACTGAGAGAGAGAGTGAGAAAGAGAGAGAGAGAGGAAGGAGGGGAAGGAGGGAAGGAAGGAAGGAAAGAAGAAAGGAAGGTCTGACCAACATATTAAAACATATTACAAAGTCTCAGTCTTACAGTTAACTTCCAGCCAAGATAGAGGCATAGGTAGATACACTCTGCCTCCTCACACAGCCAAAAGAAGGATGACAACAAATTTAAAAACAAAAAAATAACCAGACTGCCAGAAAATTGAACTGTATGGAAGTCTGACAATCAAGGAGCTAAAACAGTCATCCAAACCAGTACAAGGGACAGAGATGGGCAGCCAGGCAGAGAAGACGCATGGCAAGGCGGTGGCTGGAGCAACATTTGCTTGCAGATAAACCGGGAGAACAACTGTGGAGCAAGACAGACTGTGAAATCCAGGGTTCCAGTGTGAGAAAAGAAAGCTGTAAAACCTCTGGCTGTAGAAATCTGTGGGGGATGTGGCAGCAGGAGAAACTCCCAGCCTCATTGGAGTAACCCACAGGGTCCTAAAACGTACCCAAACCCACCCACCCAGGAATCAGCACCAGAAAGGCCCAATTTGCTTGTGGGTAGTGGGGGAAGTGACTGAAAGGCATCAGAGAGCTGAGCATGTGGCATTGTTCCCTCTCAGACCCCTCCCCCACAGACAGTGTCACCACACAGTGACCTGGCTTGCCCCACCCTGGTGAATACCTAAGGCTCCGCCCCTTCTGACATAACAGGCATGCTGAGACAAAGAAATGTGGCCCAAATGAAAAAAACACATCAAAGCTCCAAAAATAAAACTAAGCAATGAACAAATGGTCAACCTATCAGATGCACAGTTCAAAACACTGGTAATCTGGATGCTCACAGAATTGGTTGATTGTGGTCACAAAATGGAGGAAAAAGTGAGAGCTATGCAAAGTGAAATAAAGAAAACTTTACAGGGAACCAACAGTAAAGGGAAAGAAACTGGGACTCACACCAATGATTTGGAGCAGAAAGAAGAGATAACTATTCAACTAAAATAGAATGAAGAAACAAGAATTCAAAAAAATGAGGAGAGGTTTAGGAATCTCTGGGACTTTAAACATTCCAACATCCAAACCATACGGATGCCAGAAGAGTAAGAGCAAGAAATTGTAAACTTATTTGAAAAAATAATGAAGGAGAACTTCCCCAATCTGGCCAAGGAAATAGTCTTCCAGGAGATCCAGGAAGCTCAGAGAGTCCGAAAGAAGTTGGACCTGAGGAAGCACATAACTAGGCACATCATAATTACATTACCAAAGAGTAAAGATAAGAAGAGAATCTTAAGAGCAGCAGGAGAAAAGGAGACAATTACATACAAAGGAGTTCCCATAAGAATATCAGCTGATTTCTCAAAAGAAACTTTGCAGGCAAGAAGAGGCTGGAAAGAACTATTCAAAGTCATGAAAGGCAAGGACCTACATCCAAGATTACCCTATCTAGCAAAGCTATCATTGAGAATGGAAGGGCAGGTAAAGTGTTTCCCCAATAAGGTAAAGTTAAAAGAATTCATCATCACCAAGCCCATATTATATGAAATGTTAAAGGGACTTATCTAAGAAAAAGATGAATATCAGAAACTATGAACAGTAAAATGATAACAAACTCACAACTATCAACAACTGAACCTAAAAAAAACAAAAACAAAAACAAACTAAGCAGACAACTAGAACAAGTACAGAATCACAGAAATGGAGGTCAGAGGGGAGAGGAGAGGAGGGAAGAGAATGGGGGAAAAGGTACAGGGAATAAGAAGCATAAATAGTAGGTACAAAATAGACAGGGGGAGGTTAAGAATAGTATAGGAAATGGGGAAGCCAAAGAACTTATATGTACAGCCCCTGGACATGAACAAGGGTTAAGGGGAATGCTGGTGGGAGTGGAGGTGCAGGGTGGAGGGGAACAAAGGGGAGAAAAAGTGGGACAACTGTAATAGTGTAATCAATAAAATATATATTAAAAAGAAAAAGAGAAATATATATTACAAAGTCTCTACAATTTATAAAGTATGGTATTGACTCATGAATAGGCAAGGAGACCAAGGAAAGAGAACAGAAAGTCCACAGAATCACATAAGTGCATGTGGAAACTTAGTCTATGACAGGCATCATGTCAAGTCAGTGAGGGAAAGATGGATTTTTTTAATAGCTGGTTTGAGAGCCATAAGGAGCATGATATAATTGCTTCTTTCTTCAGATAGATAAAGTCCAA